ACACACTTTGATCCCACAAAGCCTATATATGTGACGTGTGACGCAAGTGGTTATGGCGTAGGTGCAGTGTTGAGTCACCAAATCAATGAAAATGATAAACCTGTTTTATTTGCATCAAGTACATTATCTCGGGCAGAACAAAAATATTCAAATTTAGAAAGAGAAGGTTTGGCTATCATTTTTGCATTAAAAAAATTCCATAAGTATATTTTTGGTCGTAAATTTATTCTAGTGACAGATCATCAACCTCTGCAGTTCATTTTTGGTCGAAATAGAAATATACCTGTTACTGCTGCTGCGCGAATAATGCGCTGGGCTATTAGTTTGTCTGCTTATGATTATATTATTCAATATAAAAAGGGTAGTCAAATTTCGAATGCTGATGGATTGTCCCGTCTTCCGATAGAAAGTGAAACTGGTATCTCTGATTCTCTATTTTCATTTAGTTTGTGTTATGATGCCCCAATGGATTCCACTGATATTGCATTAGCTACACAGAAAGATATAATTTTATCTAAAGTTATCGATTTGACACTTCGAGGATGGCCTCATGCGGTGAATGTTGACAAACTTAAGCCTTATTTTAAAAGAAAACTAGAATTGTCAGTTGAAAATAATTGCTTATTGCTGGGAAGCAAGCTTGTCATTCCTCAGTCCCTACAAAGTGAAATAATGAAATTATTTCATGAGCAACATTTGGGCGTAGTAAGAACAAAAATGCTGATGAGATCTTATTGTTGGTGGCCTGGAATGAATGATTGCATTGAAAAATTTATTGGATCCTGTACAATATGTCAAGAAACTCAAAATTTTTCCAACAGTAGTGTTTTACTTCCCTGGCCAAATGCCCCTAATGCTTTTCATAGAGTAAACATAGATTTTTTCCATAAAATTAATTACACTTTTTTAATTCTTGTTGATAATAAGTCAAAATGGATTGAGGTAAAGTTGATGAATGAGGGTACGAATGCTAAAGAAACAATAATAAAATTAAAACAGATATTTTCAGTATTTGGATTACCAGTGGAACTAGTATCGGATAATGGTCCACCATTTAATTCATCTGAATTTAATTTGTTCTGTCAAGCTAATGGAATCAAGCCAATAAAGACACCTCCGTATCATCCTCAAAGCAACGGTATTGCTGAAAGGGCAGTTCAAACTGTGAAAAGTGGGTTGGAAAAATCACTTTTTTTCGAAAAGGAGAGGGTAATTAGTAAACAGACAGTTTTAAATCGTTTGGAAAACTTTCTATTTACATATAGAAATACTCCCTCTACAAGTACAGGAGTTTCTCCAGCTGAAGCAGTATTTAAAATGCGTCCAAGAACCAGATTTGACCTTCTAAAACCATCATTTAACAAAAAGTCGAAACTTAATAATTCTGATATATCAAAATTGAGATTGTATTCTTTAAATGAAAGTGTGTATGTAAAAAACAAATTAACGAAGCTGTGGCAGAAAGGAAAAATTATAAAAGTGATAAGTCACTGTACTTATTTGGTACAAATTGACAACAATATAAAATTAGTACATGCAAATGATTTGCGCCTAAATCATTACGATGAAAGACCTCTTTTAATGCCTAATAGTGATTTATCAGTTCAAACAAATAATGACAATCATAGTGCTATCCCTACTAGTAGTGTTGGTGTTAGTGCTTCCCCGATTAAGACTCCTATTATGGACAATCTAAGTCCTAGATTTATTAATGTGTCGTTACCCATGAATGACAATGGTAGAAGTGATGTGCCTGTTTTGAACAAAACATTGGATCCTCCGACTCCTTCTAATACTATTACTCGATCTGGTAGAGTTATAAAGAAACCAGTTAAATTAAATTTGTAAAGTAAATTGCTTTTAAGAAGGAGGAGAGAATGTAGTGTTCTGAATGCACTTCTGGTGATTGACTGGTATTGTTAAATCAGTCATCATATGTCAGAGTTAGTCATTAGTCATGAAATTGAGTTGTGCATTATTTAGTTATTTCGAGTCAATAAATGATTTGAATTTAATGATACAAATGTGTATCATTTAGAAGTCTAATACACAACAATTATGATGGACAAATTCGGTTTGGTTCGGTCGGTTCGGTTCACCATTACGGAGATTCGAAAACGCCTAACAGTCTGTCGACCGTTTTGACATTTGTCATGTCAAGAAAATGACTTTTACTTTACTTCACCTTTTTCGCTCTCTTTTTGCATGTAGCAATATAGTAATATTATGTTTGATGAAATTTACAAATATATTGTAAAAATACAATTAATTAAAATTAAAAGTCTACTATTTTATTATTCAATTAACCATTAATGCAGTCCACTATATTGAAAGTATAGTAAGTAATACTGCCGGAAAAGGCACATAAGGATTCATTCTTTCCTCTAGGTCTATAACCTAGATGAACCGCGTAGGGACTATTCCTGGTTGTGGAGTAAACACGTGAACAGTGGTGTTGATTCCCCATTGCACTAGACTGATACTTTCATTTCAGATCTTCATCTTCCATGGAAGCATTCATGGCGGCAATAACAACTCTGCTTATTCTTTCTACTTGCCCATTGGCCCGTGAAGTTGCAGTGGCACATAATACTCTTCTAGAAAATTCCTCGCTCTGGTAAATACGGTTCCACGATCACAAATGATACGCCTAGGCACTCCAAAAGTTTCTATAATTTCATTAGTACGACGAAAGAAGTTTTTGTGGAACTGCTTTTATCATGGTTCATTTTTCTTTTCAATACTGTTTATTGTTCGTCGATTTTTATCTGACACTTTCCGTATGAGGAGCGAGGGGGTGAAGTATATGGCAATAACAAGTGTGACGTTAGGTGACCATTGGCGTTCTAATGTAGGGTATAGGGTGCCACCAGCTCACATTCCTTCCGAGTATCAGATAAAAATCGACTGATTTTAAACTTCCGGGTATTTTTCCTGAACAGGCTAATATGTAATCCTTAACGTATCTTCGCATAGGTACTCATCATCCAAATAACCATCAAGAGTCTTTTCAACTGCCAAGTGTCTGGCACTATCATGTTTAGGAGTCGTCTTCTAGAGTAACTAGGTTATTTTTAAGAATATTACGTTCGTGAGTCTCTCTCTTTAGTCCGCACTTTGCGGTGGCTCACTCACCACAGCATGCAGCTGACGACATTTTTCGTCAATATTCACTGGAAGTACCTGTACTTCATTATAACCGTCGCTGTCTATATTGAATCCCAAAGTGGATTATCTAACCACCAACGAACGATCCTTGGAACTAGGTCTCTCCTACTCGACGTGGTTCAGTACCTACACTATGACCTTAAATTTTTGGAATTTACAGAAGAGCCACTTGGACTCTTAACAGTATTAGACGTTCTTAAGCTGCTTATTATCCGACTTTCTGATGTGATCGGTACCAGACTTTCTAATTTTATTGTTATCAGACTAATGTTGCAGAACGCAGGAAATCTTGTCTTGCTCGGCTATTTCTTGTCTTGTCTTGCTAAGCAAGACAAGAAATTTCAAATTCCTTGTTCTTGCGAATTTCTTGCAAGCCTATTTCTTGTTCTTGCTGCAAGAGTCTTGCTATTTCTTGTTCTTGCTTCATAAAAAGTTCCTACATAGATTTTATATAGTTTTGATTATATTGGAACTTCAAGAAATATTTTGCAAGTGAAAATATATTAACGGCGCGTTCAGCACACTTACCTACTTGTGAGTACTGAATGAAACTGAGCCATTACACTCGGCTATGTAACGCTCATTCGGGTAAATTCGGCTCGAGTATTTAGCAAATGGATTTAACGTGTGTCGGTCAAAAAGACCGATCAGTAATTACGCCACTGATACAAGGGTGCCAGTTTTGTTCATCCAGTAATGCCTGATGCAGGTTTTCCACTACCCATTGGCCCAAAAATATTTTGGTTTTTGATTGAAGCATAGTTCGTTGTTTTCATAGTCGGTGCTTTTGACTACGCGCGTGAACCTGATTATCTAAAATATTTGTGTTCGAAATTAGCATTTTCTGATATTGGGAGTACTTTTGGCTATCGATAATACGGTAACTGTACTGCATAATATAATTGTAATAATTATGAATTCTAGGAATTATAGTGTTTGTAAATTTTTTTCGCGGAGACGGTCCCAAACGTATCCTCAACGCATGACTTTCGCAGGTAATATTTGAAAGTTCCATGTCTCTATTAATTAGTAAACCTGCGTAGGTCATGCCTTAGCGTTCAGGATACATTTCCGCTCGTCTCCGCGAAAAAAGCTAATAATTCATGTAAGCTTTTGGACAGTCGGTCGATTTGACCGAACGCGTGTAATGACGTAAGTTTTTTGGCGCGTGTAATGCCGGGTTAATAATTAAACCTTTTCCTCTGAGAACTACATGAAAGGTTAACTTCAGACAAACACCTGAAGAAATGGTAGAAAATGTTTTGACACCAATCAGTCAAAACTTTTCGACTTATGAACCAGAAGATAAAGAACATGATGAGTTTGCCTAACTTTCCCCTCAAGACAGTCAAAGTTTCCTCGACGACGAAGATAACAATACACCAGCCTGAATGAAAAACACCTATGAAAACCAAAAATCTACCACCTCTAGTGCAGATGTCGACTTAGCCTTTAGCGAAATGACCGCTGATCGAAGACCTCAACGTAATCGGAAGAAGCCCAGTCATTTAAAAGATTACGCTACAGATTTTGATTCTGATTTATCTTCTAAAAAACCTAAGTATTTTTGTACAAAATCAAAGTTAGTTTTTTTTTTATATAACATTTTAACCCGCTTTTCTCATATGTTTGTGATCTAGTTAACCCTGCTCTTGACGTGGGTAGAAAATTAATCTATCAGCTGTTTGATTTTTTTAGGTTATATGTTATATTTATTTTTATATGTTTTGTTTCCTTTTTGTCAAGTTTTGTGTTCGAATTCTGGTGATTGATCCCAATCGTTCGGAAACGTTGAATAATCTACTCTGAAAACGAGCTAAACCGCATGTTTCATCACAAAAACACAAAAAAATTATTAAATAAAATACATTTATTTGTTTATTAGTAAATACAGCAATGATAAATAATAAAAAAAATGGTAAAAAATTATTTATTTCTTGTAAACATAAACAAAATTAAAACAAAAACCCGCTTCACTTTCCAATGATAATTTTACGTCCGGCACCCATGTTTTGTCCAGCTTGAGTTGCTCCCTTGTTTTGTCCGGCTTGAAGTCCAATCATACCTTCACCAGCCCTCAATTGCTCCTCAGTGAAGTCGCGTTTGTTTTCGTCAGCTGGTTTGGGTCCCAAGTGCGGTCCTGGCCATTCTGGGTGTTTCCAGGCGGCGCGACCAATAGCGAAAATTGTGTTGGTTACTCCAGAGATGTCTTTCTTTTCCCATAAGTCGACGGTCTGGAACAAGTCGTTGTCTGGAACGCCGTAGTTCAAAATGGCTTTTTGGAAGCTGGAAAGAGAAAAAAAATGTTCATTTTACAATCTTGATGTAAGTAGTCATTTAATTATTAAAATTCAAGACATGGTGTCAGGTTAAAAAAACCTTATCAGAATTAAAGCCTAAAGAATTACAACAACAGTTGGAAGAACTTAGAAAAAAAGTAGCTGTACTACAAATTCAGAAATGTCAGGATCATATACATTTTTCCAAAAAATGGTGACAAGTACTGTAGACCAAATACGTAGGATCCAGAAGTTTAGTTTTGATAAAAATGGATAACATACTATGAAAGGTACAGAATCAAATACAGCTTCACCAAAATTGCAAATCACAAATCTATGATTGCACATGGGACCTGAAGTTGATAAACTATTGGAACAATTGAACAAACCAGAGAGTGTTTTATAAAAGGGATAAAAGTTCGCAATCAAGAAAACCAATAAAATTATACAAAGAGCTAGATGTTTTAGAAATGGAAATTCACCTCCTCATATAAAAATTGTCCTGCAAATGGAGAAATATATTCAAAATGTAAAGTTAATAGTTAGGGAGACGACCGCATTTTTCCTACCCCAATCGAGTTATGTGTCGACACTATTATCAATATATAGTATTATGTGCATCTAATAACCTGTATTCCTGCCTGAGAGCAAATGCTGCCGGAAATATCTTTTAACAAATTATTAACAAATTGAAAAAAAACGTAATACTACCCCCATCGAGTTATGCCCTAAATAGGGTATCAGATTGAAGGTCTCTATGTCCCTTATCTAAAAAGTCGATCCTGCCTCGTGAGAACTTGCCGGAAAAGGGTGGCAGGATAGCTTATTGGGGCAAGGGCCCGCGGTCTCTGCTTTGACACCAATCAAGTTTTGCGCTGAATGATGTGTCAAATTAAAGGTGTCAATAAGTTGATTTAAGGTCTCTTCGCACAGAAATCCCAAACCAGAAGGAGTGAATTTCATTGTTTGAAACTAGTTTCCTGACTGTTTCCAACCAATAAAATTCGCTCTGACTGGTTTTTGATTTCTGTGCGAACAGACCTTAAATCAACTTATTGACACCTTTAATTTGACACATCATTTAGTGCAAAGCTTGATAGGTGTCAAAACAGAGACCGCGGGCCCTTGCCCCAATAAGCTATCCTGCCACCCTTTTCCGGCAAGTTCTCACGAGGCAGGATCGACTTTTTAGATAGGGGACATCGAGACCTTCAATCTGATACCCTACTTAGGGCATAACTCGATGGGGGTAGTGTTACGTTTTTTTCAATTTGTTAATAATTTGTTAAAAGATATTTCCGGCAGCATTTGCTCTCAGGCAGGAATACAGGTTAATAGATACACATAATACTATATATTGATAAGAGTTTCGACACATAACTCGATCGGGGTAGGAAAAATGCGGTCGTCTCCCAGACTATAAAGGTCATTATTTTGAAATGTGTAGGTCAAAGTTTGTTAAAAGTGTAGAAGTTGACAGCCCAGATAATGAGAGCGAAGAATTATCTGAAAATGCTGAGATAGATTCTTCATGTGAACGTTGAACCAGTGACAGTACAAACACCCAGACGCGTATCATTATTGCCTTTACTGAAGACTGTACGGTTAGAGCTTAGTCATATGGTAGGAAAGGCGCTATTAAGGAAATCAACGAAGCTACAGAATAGTTTTCTCCGATGACAATAATTGAAAAAATCAATGGAGTAAAAATTTGCACGGATTTTATTGAATTAAATAAGTTTGTTCTCAGAGAAGGATTTGTTTTGCCAACTGTAGAAAAAACAACAGCACAGTTGCAAGATGCTAAATTTTTCTCAAAATTAGATTGCAATAAAGGATTTTGGCATCAGTTAATGCTTAGTAAGCAAAGCCGAAAATATATTACATTTATAACACCAGTCGGCAGATTTGTTTATGAAAGATTACCTTCGGCATTTCCAGTCGGACACGTCATTTTTGTATTCAAGGGGTAAACTTTTTGACCCCATCGGTAGGTACTTCGCTAGGGTGCACTTTCTGGGTGGGGTGACTTTCACCCCTCTTTTTGTGATAGGGAAGATGGGTCGAGTGGTACCTTGTTTCAAGGGTATTTTGATTCTCGTCCAATTGTGTACTTTTTTTGAAAATTGAATAATTAGTTCTCAACATATTCACTGTCAAAGTTGTCACAGGCTAAATAGGAAACAATCTTACGGCCCTGTTATTCTTTAATTAACACTTTTCTGACTCTCCTCTCTGAGAATAACAAGGCCAGAAGATTATTTCTTATTTAGCCTATGGCAACTTCGACAGTAAATTTTTATCCAACAAAACAAGGTATAGGTAATATATCCTCTAATGCTTCTTCATATGGGATAGGTTCTTGTCTCTATCAAAAATCTCGGAAGGGAAAAAAAGAAGTTATCGCTTACTGTCCACAACAGAATTTCGTTATGCTCAAATCGAAAATGAGGCTTTGACATTATTAGCATGTGGTTGCCAGTTAAATTTAAAGAATATATCACAGGTATTTTGAAACTTTGTTGTCTAGTTCAGGTGCTGCAAACCAAACCTCTAGATGAGCTTATTCAAAGCCCCCTACAGTAATAAGCCATGAAGTAAGAAATCTGGCAACATGTCGTGTGGGTCCTATGTTTTCGATTGAGGTTAGGTTTTGATTGTTTTGAATGTGTTTATTATATTTATTTTAATTATTTGTTATTATTATAGCGCCTTTGATTCATCTGTAATACTTCAAAAGATCAATAATTGTGCCCTGTGCACTTTTTTATCAAAATTTTAACCGCTACCTTAATCATCTTTTGGTTTGTTTATTCAAATTGTTCCCACAGGGCGCCGACGAACACTTTGTTTTTTCTTTAGTAAAGGTCAGAAATTCATCATTTTTATATCAAAATATTACATTATGCAAATTTTTTATTTATTATAGATGCCCCGATTATGCTGTGTTACAAGTGAACTTTGAAAATTATGGTTACCAGCCATTCATAAAGAAAACTTCCAAATTACCTACAAAGAGTTCAGTTGTGTGCTGTGAAAATTTTGATACTACAGAAATACAAAGAGTGGCATTACAAATACAAAGAAGGAATTTGGTGTGAGCACCCTCTGATGCAACCTAAACTAATGAAGGAGGCAATTCCCAATTCCTCATATTATATTTGAAAATCAATCAGAATACCTATCTAACAAGACATTCAGTGACTAAACGAAAAGATCCCCAGAAGACAGAAGACAGGAACTACAGGAAATTTTGAAACAGGAAAATTGCAGAACTATTCAATTACCAATTTTGAAAATCTAGGCAAGGAAAATATTGAGTCAAACTCCAAAATATCTCTTAAATGTGTTGGTGTTTTATTTATCCAGTTCATTATTTTTCTCAAACAAATCTCGAAACAAATTACAATAATATCATATTTTTGAAAAAGTATAAAATCAAATCAATCATCTAATCTAAAAAAGCTGCTTTCAAAGGCAGACCGGCAGACCCACTCAAGAATACAAATGCGGTGTTGCCATTTTTACTTCATGGCTTATTACTGTAGGGGGCTTTGGCTTATTCCAAGGCTTCAAAGGTTCAGAATATGACTCATGCGCTATGATTGTGTTATCTACTATGTTCCAGGAAAGGATATTACCTTATCCAGGAATTTTCCCAAAAATGTCGAGTAACCTAAAGATGATGAGCTTGTGCATGAGGCAGATAATCATGTAAGTTTAGTGATTCAGTCAGTCCAAATTAAACTTACATTTCTTGAGAAAACAAGCTGTAATGATCCAATTTGTAAGAAACCTGTTTATCAGGATAGCCTGAGAAAAATAAACTATATGATAAAATTCTTCCCTACTATACGCGCCGTTTTGATATTGGCTTTCAAAAAAATCTTTTGATAGAAAATTATTATCCCTCTAAGTTTACCTACAGCAAAATTGTTTAGAGCTTATCCATCAAGGCCATCAAGGGGTTGTCAAAAGGCATCTGTATGGTGGCTTGGTTTTTCTTCACAAATTGAAAACCTTGTCAAAAATTTCCCAGAATATGTGGAATTCAGAACTAATCCAAGAGAACAATTCCTCAAAGAACAATTTCCCGAACGTCCCTGGCAGAAATTAAGTACCTCCCTATAGATCTATAGATCTGTACAATTCTAATGATACTTGCTATCTCATTGTAAGTAGGAAAAGTAAGTAATATTTTTTGAAAATTTTCCACTATGATCGCATCTATCGTCATCAGCAGTCTTAGGCAAATATCAAGTAGATATAGGTGAAATATGATTAGATTAGTAGTTCCCATTATCCTGCTTTTAATGGAGAAGTGTAGAGTTACCTGTAGAAGTAGCTAAAAGTATAGTGAAGAAAAACTCCAAAGACTTGGATTTATCTTTGCTAGCTTATCGCACAACACCTTTTGCATGTGGACTAAGCCCACCAATGAACCGAAAATTAAGGTCTCATTTGCCAATTTTGTCAAGCATACCTACTCAATAAAACAGTTTATACTAAAAATATACCACATATAAAGAATTTAGAAAAGAAGACATTAGCCATTAGGTAAGCGTTATGATAAAAGATACCAAACAAGGAAATTTTCTAAATTTTCTATAAGAGAAAGTGTGTGGGTGACTGATGTAAGAGTAATATGGCATAGTTGTAGCTGTTTCAGATTCTTACCTAATAAAAACCAATTATGGTAAATATCGGAGAAGCAGGTGGCACTTGATTCCAGCATCATATTATAAATCACAGTTACCCAATCATCTTTATCAGCAACCAATAGTAGTATTGTTAATGATGATTCAAATGACGATGTAAACGAGAAAGATCAAAATCATGAAATATTTAGTTTTAATAGATAAGGATTTAGATGGAAATTTATGGCATAGAAGGTTAGGGCTATGTTAATAGGCATAGTCTAAACCAGTTAGGGTTGAATTTCAAAAATTTGTTAAGCTTGTATGGAGGGCGAAAATACTCGTAAACCATTCTAAGTCATATGAAAATACATATAGCACAAAGTTGGTCAGTTAATATACTTTGATATAGCAGGTCCCATAGCCAATTCCACACATTATTTTCAGTAGACGATTTTTCACATTTCTCAGTACTAAAATTACTGAACATTAAATCTGGAGGTGTTCAAAACATTATTATTATTATTGATTTTATTCTGCGATGCACACTTTAGATGGGATTTTAAAAAATCCATGATTTCAATGAAATTTTGGTATGTTGTAGATCTCGATCTACTGATCAAAAGTTCTCATGGGCCCAAGATGATCCTATGACTGGTTTCCGAAATACAGGAGCGGGTATGGGGCTACCCAAAAATCTGAAATCCGAGTACATAGAAATTCTTCCACAAAAGGTAAACTTAGATACAAAAAGTTATAAAGACTACGTTCATTTCACGCATTATATCCGGATTAGGGTAGAAATATCCATATTTTCACAAAAACCCTTTTTTCTATGAATCGCAATTACCCCTTAAATCACCCCCAAAGTAATTTGCAAGTCAAATGAGGTTTCCTAAACGGTGTATATTGGAACTGTTTATAACTTGCAGTACCATTTGTACCCAAGACTGGAGTGGAAATGTCCAAATTTTCACAAAAACCCCTTTTTTGATGAATCGCAATTATTAGTTTCAAGTCCTTGTACTAGCCTCAAGGTAGTTTGCAAGTCAAATGGGGTTCCTTAAACGGTGTATTTTGGCACTGCCTATACCTTCCAGTACCATTTGCGCCCAAGACTACGGTGGAAATGTTCATATCATATTATTTTATTTTAGTTCAACTTAAACGTCCGATTTTTGTATGAAAAGTATTAATCAAACAGAAGGATTATATTTTTTGAGCACTGAAAAATTGTTTCCTGACATCTATCATAGCCAATACGAATAAGATTCAATTAATTTTAACGCTTTTACCTATCGTGAAAGAATTTCTATTTACTCGGATTTTTGGGTAGGTCCATACCCGCCACTGTATTTCGGAAACCAGTCATAGGATCATCTTGGGCCCATGAGAACTTTTGTTCAGAAGATCGAGATCTACAACATGCCGAAATTTTTTCAAAATCGTGGATTTTTTAAAATTCTATTTCAAGTCAGCATCATCCTTTTAATGAAAACTCAACATAATGCAAAAACGCAAAAAATTACAGTTGATAATGGTATTGGGAATTGATATACCTTACTAGACAAAGTAGGAACCAAATTTTTAGAAACAAATTTATCAAGACAAATATGGGGAGAGGCTATTTTATGCTCAGCCCATGAGCTAAATAGAACACTAACTTAAGCAGATAATGGGGAAACTTCAGCCACAAGATGACAAATGATTTGTCAAAAATGAAAGTCGAGCTTGTGGTAGCGATATTACCAAGAAAGAGTAAATTAGAGAGAAGAGGTCAACATTGTATTAGGTATGGTGGGATATACAGGAGCTGGGTATAGATTGATTCCGGAATTTCCTGTTCAAGGGTTGTAAGTTTTAATTAAAAATCAACAAACTATGATATGATTGTGAAACAAGAGATGGAAATCATAAAAAAATTATACAAAATACAATGTGAAAATGATTTACAAGATGGAATTAATGACATAGAAGTGGAAAGACAAGAAGATACTAATTCAAGCCAAAGTAGTGACGAAATAAAAAATCCAAGTTCAGAAAATTATAAATAATGTTTGCCAAACTCAGAAACAACAAGTAGACACAGAATAATTACAGCACTAAAATATTTTAGTGAATATGAGACTTACAATGCCTACTGCTTGATATCATTAGAAGAAAGTGATCCAATAATCTAGGAAAAATGAAGGATGGGCAGAAGCAATAAGAAAAGAACTTGATTCACATGTGAGATTAAATGACATGAATTTAAATGAAATTACCAGAAAATAAAATAGCTACAAAATCTTGTGGAACCAAAAAAGCAAGATTAGTAGTAAAAGGTTTCCAAATTAAAGAAGAAGATCAATTTGAACCCAATTAACTCACCAGTAGCAAGAACATCATCCATACAATTACTAGTGTCATTAGCACTACAAAAGAATTGGAAAATAATTCAAATGGATATTCCTAGTGCATTTTCAAATGGGTTACTTGAAAATGATGTTTATATTTATTCACCACCAGGTATCACAACTGAAAATTCAAACATTTTGAAACTATACGGATTAAAAGAGTCGTCAAAAGTCTGGAAAAATACTTTTAATGAATCTACAATACAAAATAATTCTGAAAGATCAATGTATAATTGTTATTTCTATTTTGATAAGGAAGTTTATATATTAATTTACGTTGATGATATTTTATTAACACCAAATGATGTAGAGATGGTAGAATTATTAAAGCAACAATTTCATGCTAAAGATTTGAATGAATTTACCAGGTTTTTGGGAATAAACATAACTAGGAAAAAGGGATGTAAGCGAGGATGTAAGTAACTAAAATTGATCCGAAAAGAATGGAAAGATTCATAAATAGAAAAGGTTTTGAATCATTTCAGTACTATGACTATGACATACATACATAGACTGTAACCAAAAGAAATATAATGAAAGCAATAAGATTTTAACAAATAATCCTAATACATTGGAGGACAAATGTATGTGGCAACAACTAGCAAAACTGATATCAATTATTCAGTGTCATATTCAAGCAGATTTTTAGATTCCTCCAACATCAAAGATATAATGGACTGCTGGAAAAAGAGTTCTAAGATATTTGCAAGAAACTGAGATAATGGGATTGACTTATCATAAATAATGCTCAAAGAATATTCAGATGCTGATAGGAAAGATAGAAAAAGTGTAAGCGCATGTAAATTTTACATGAAAAAAACCCCATATCATGGTTTTCAGAGAAGCAAACTCGTGTGGCATTATCTACAGCAGAAGCTGAATATGTGGCAGCAGCGCAGGGTATTTTAAGAAAGTTCAATTTATTTGACGAAGCTATTCTGTTTTGAGATAATGAAAGCGCAATCCTAATGTCTGAAAGCAATGAGAACTCGAAAAGGTCCAAACACATTGACATCAAGAATCATAATTTGAAAATTCTGATTTTAAGGAAACTGTAATTAAGTATGAAAGTATGCAGGTATCATCTGAACAAAATTTGGCTAATATTTTAACTAAATATTTCTCGATTTTTCTCGAATTTCTTCTCTTTATATCTCAATTTTTATTTATTCAGGGTAAAAAATATATAACATTTTGGTTCTGTATTCTCAAATTCAAAACACAATAAAAACAATAATCAACCAATATTATTCCCTTTATAAAATAATATAGGTACCTACCTAAAGCATTAAAAAATTGTTGAAGCTATTTAGAAAACTGTGTGTCCTGAGGATGACTTAATATAAGTCGAAACGTCGACATACAAAGTTAACAAATTTCTGTTTTTATTATGACCCTCCTACAATATATTGAAAACATTTGTGTCACAAAATACTAATTCAGAAAAGCTAATTTTTTTTCAATTTCTCTTGAGTTTTTTATCTTTATTTCTCAATTTTGCTAGCTCAATTTTTGTTTATTCCCGGCCCTTGGATTTGTCAAAAATAAAGAAAATTCCAAAGCCTGTAATAGAAAAAACATTTCCTCTTATCCAAAGCTGGACAGTATTTACTTTCCTAAATACTTTTTAGTATGTAGGTACTTGCTTCAAAATCAAAAAGTATTTAAAGCGCTTATATAATATATAATGTGAGACACTTTGAATTGATGAGGAAACGGGACTTTCACTATCAACGACATAAAATGTTTTCACAGAGTACTTTCAAGTTGATTTCAGCAAGATTCTTTCTCAGAACTAGAAAGTGTGGATGTTCTGAAACTTTCAAGTTAATTTTGTTTAAATTTCAGGCTCATGTCTCAGTTTAATTTCAACAACGATTTGTTCTCAGAACTAGAAAATGTTAATTTCAGAGTCTTTCAAAGTCAATATCAGCAAGATTTTTTCTCAGAAATAACAAGTCTGAATGTTCTGAGACTTTCAAGTTTCAAGTCAATTAAGTTCAAAAATCAAAACCTGGAAATTGTTTGGAATGTCTGAGTTTAGTTTCAACAACGATTTGTTCTCAGAAACAGAAAACGTAAATTTTAGATTCTTTTCAATTTCAACAAGATTCTTTATGAAAATTAGAAAGTGTAGATGTTCTGAGACTTTCAAATCAATTTTGTGGAAAGATTATTGGAAGAAGAATGATTTTGAGAAACAAAGCCGACAAATAAAGCCGATGAGCGTTTTAATAACAGAAAAACAAGACGGAATAAATAATCAGAGAAAAATGTTTGAGAAATTCTAATTCAAAATATTCCAAAATTATGGAGAGATTGGGAAAAAACAAACTTTTAAGTAGAATCTCATTTCAAATAAGTCAAATCTTAAGAAATATAACAACTGGCTTCAAGCCAAAACGATTCAAAAATCCTCACACCCGATTATTATTTTTAAATTATTTAATTTTAATGACTGCCAGCTGGTTACCCCAAATCCCAAATCCACTTGCCAACAAAACAAAATTCCACAAAATCCCGAGAAAAACAAAATCATTTGTCGTATTAATAGAATTTTAAATATAGAACTAAAAATCCTTACTTGGTGATGTTCTCCATAAGTTTGAATTGTCCTCCTGACGTGTTGATTTTAGGAACGGATCCTGGCGCCAGTTTGTTGATTAGTTGGCACAAAACGGTACCGTCCCTAAGGACGTCTTCGTAGGCTTGATTTGGAGGGAATTTGGCACCCAAAATGCTTTCAATCCATTGCTGGGCTTCGGCATCCAAAGCTGGATTACGTTTGGCAGCCAACTATAACATTATTCCAATAATTATTGTTTATTCCATAGAAGAAAATTATTGAAGACTTACTTTGGCTTGTACTTGACGTTCCAAAGACATTTTTGCGATTGAGTTTCTAGATACGCACTTGGTGATACACTAAATGAAACTGGCTTGCAAAAACCGACCTCTTTGGCTTTTATAACGTTTGGTGGAATTTTTATTTTTTTGAAATCGGCCTACAGGATTTCGACGCGCTTGTGGAAAATGATTTGGCGGTTAAAATTAGATTTTACATGATAAACTAATCGAAAATGTTCGCACGGGTTTTTTGCGCAATTTTGGGATTTCGATAAAATTAAGTTTGAACTTTTTTTTGACTAAATTTCGATTTTGAGGTTCAATTGTTCGAAAAGTATTTGAGCTATCAAACTCAATTTGGCATGAATTTATAGAGAATTTAATGCTCTTTCTGATAGTGTATAATTTATTTAGATTTGTTCAGATTTTAATGGTAATATTGGCAATTTTTCCAAAGAGGGTAGTTTGGATTCCTATTTCAAAATCGTCAAGCTTCAATATCTTCAAATCTGTGAGAGATATTGAATCAAAATTTTCAGAAATTTTAGCTCCTATTGAGTTCTAAAAAACCTGTATTGGAAAATATTTGCAGGCTTATAGTTTTTGAGAAAATTGAGTTTAAAATTTGTGACTAAATTTCTACTAAAATTCAACTTTGAAGCTCAATTGCTCAAAATTTATTTGAGATATCAAGCCTAATTTAGCACAGATTTATAGAGAATTTAATGCTCTTAATAACAGTATATAATTTATTACCATTTGCTCAAATTTTAATGGAAATATTGGTAATTTTTCTTAACCTTGTCATGATTCAAAGACAAATTTAGAACTAAAAAATTAAATTTTCTTTTTGATGACTAATTTGGATAGAGTACCACCCCTTTTGGATTCTTATTTCAAATTTTTTGTAAATTCCTGATATTGGAATTTAGGAGGAAGCTCAGAACACTTGGTAGTTTGTTATTTGTGATTTGCAGGTTGGGTTAGTATACCCGAAAAGGATGGTAACTGAGGAGTAATAATCACTGTTGAATTAATACTGATCAGTGGCGGATCTATACCACCATTCTAGGAGGGGGGTTAGAGCTCGTAACGGCTCCAGTAACGGCTCGTGGTCTATACTTGAAGGGAAGAAATTTTTTTCGGGTGCCACGCCCAAAACGCATTTAAGCTTCCAAAAAATAATTTGTATGTTTTTTTGATAATCAAAATTTTCTTAGGTCTCTAGGGGGGAGGGTAATAACCTCCTTCCCTCCCCGTGCATCCGCCACTGGAAAAAGGCGTGGTTTACAATGATAAAAATGCCGTACAATTACGTCCTAAATACGTCAGCCATGTCGTATTTGAAATATGCCATCGTCACCAAAAGTAACTGGGACAGCATCACATTAGCTCTTGTCCTATTATATGAATTTTATTGTCAAATAGATATTTGTCAAACTATGAATTGACCTTTTGTTTGGACGCCATATTGCGGTGCGCGAACATAGTTGCCAATAGTAGATAAAAAAAATTACTAGCGTTCTGTCAACTTTAAAATCCAAAGTTAGTGAATAAATTACATTTAAAATTTAAATTTGCCGCCTTTTACGATTGTTTTTGGAAAGAAAAGCCATCAATTTTAACTTGTATTGGGCAGAATAGAAATAATAAAATATCTAGTTGACAGCCCGCTAGTAATTTGTGGTTTTCTTGTTTTGGCAACTATGTTCGCGCACCGCAATATGGCGTCGAAACAAAAGGTCAATTAAATGCATTGAAATGATTGACAGTAGAATTAGTCCAGGAGATTATTATGCATTATTTGTGTCCCATATACGTTTGGTGACGATGATACAATTGACGTCCTCATAAATATGTCAGTTTGATCATGACATGACGTTCATGCATGTGACAGTAAGATCATACATCACGTCGTATTTTGATAAGATGACATCGCGAACCGAAATTGACTCTAAAATGACGTCATTTGAAAATAATTCAAGAGCCTGGAATAGAGATAATCTTTGTATTTCTGCTTATCAACCAGTTTCTTCTTAAATTTTCCTCAATTTTCAATTCTCATAAAGTTTCTCACTCATTTATTCTTTATTCTTTCTCTATTTTTGCCTATTTCCAGCTCTTGAATTTTTTGAAATTTCCCAAAATAGAGAGGGACTAAGTTATACTGGAATAGAGTAAATTCTTATATTGCTGCTTATCAACCATAGTTTTATTAGATGAACCTATTGAGGTTTAATAAAACACAGTGAAATGAGTCTAACTATAATGAAAAGATACGTGACAAATTCGCGTGACAATGACAATTTTACAATGACAATACTAATCATTACAGGTTCTATAGGTAATAACTAGGTGAACAGAACTAACTAATTATAGCGGGAGAATAAAACTCAAATACTTCTTCTTAACACTCCCACCTATTTGTGTTTTATAGAAGAATTAACATTATTCAAAAAAAAATACATTCGGATATAAACTAAAACTACAATAACATGTTTAATTTTTGAAGGCAATTGTTCAGAACAGTCTTTGTAACTGGCTTTGTGAGAATATCTGCCAATTGTTCGTTAGAATTTACATAATTGACTGAAATGTTACCTTTTTCAATTTCGTCACGCACAAAATGCACTTTAATGTCAAAATGTTTTGTTCTTCTATGTTGCTGCTGAGCCTGAGCTAGTTTTATGGCTGATTGGTTATCCCCATTAATTTTTACTTGTGGGAAGTTTATTCCTAATTCGTTTAGAAAAGACTTCAGCCATAAAGCTTCTCGTACTCCGAGTGATAACGCTAAATATTCGGCCTCAGTGGTTGACTGAGCAACAACGGTTTGTTTCTGACACTTCCAGGTGATCGGTGCCTTTGCAAGAACAAAAACGTAACCGCTGGTTGATTTTCGTGTGTCTATACAACCTGCATAGTCAGCATCTGTATATCCGAATAGATTTATTTTTGGCGATTTAGAGAAAACGATTTTATAATGAGCAGTGAGCTTTAAATAACGAAATATGCGTTTAACCGCTTGCCACTGTTCATCTTGCCAGTTATTATAAAATCGACTCACTTGATTCACTGCGAAAGAAATGTCTGGTCGACTACACGTTGCTAAAAACATCAAAGAACCGACAGCTTCGCGATAAGGATGCTTTTTTGCACACACTGTATTTTCAGGTAATGACAACAGAATACTCGGTTCCGCAGGAACTGATAAGGGTTTGGCATCACTCATTTGAAACTTATTTACAAGTCTAGTTATGTACATTTGTTGGTGAATGCAAATTATACCGTCAGATAAATTTTGTTCGATTTCAAGACCAACAAAATTTAGTTTTGAACTGTCCAAATTTACAACGATTTTAAACATCTGTTTCAAAATATTAATAAGTCCAGATATAGCAGTTTTTGATTTTGACATCAACAGACCGTCGTCGACATAAATAGCCAGATAAATTTCATTCTCAGCAAAGTGACCAAGAAATACACAAGGGTCTGTTTTTAATTGTTTAAAATCGTACTGATTTAAAAATGAAACAAACTTACGGTTCCAACATCGTGCTGATTGCTTTAGTCCGTAAAGGCTTCTGTTTAATTTGCACACTAAACCGGGTTTCTTTTGGTTTTCGAACCCCGATGGCTGTTTCATATACACACACTCCGAGAGATCGCCGTACAAAAAGGCTGTTTGTACGTCGAAATTAGAAATATGCATGTCATGTTCGGTTGCCAATGCAAGCAGAATTCGAATAGAATCGTATCGTACCACCGGCGCGAAAGTCTCTTGATAGTCCACCCCTTTATCTTGTGTGAATCCCCGCGCGACAAGACGTGCTTTATAGCGCGATGGTTTACCATCAGAAGATATTTTGATACGAAACACCCACTTATTGTCAACGATTTTCGCGTTTTTCGGTAATGTTACAAGTCCCACGTATTGTGGCACTTTAAGGCGTTTATTTCTTCTTGCATAGCGAGACGCCATTTATCAGAATCTTCACAGCTGATGGCTTCTTCGTATGTCGTAGGTTCGGAAAGTGAACAATAATTAGCATAGGTAGTATAAAAATTGGGTCTTGACAACTTGCTTCTATCTCTTAATTCTCTTCTATTCTCATCTTTTAATTCAAAATTTTCTTCACACTGATACTCTTCATCACTCAAATATTCTTCGGCCTTTTCTTCTATTTCTGTAATTTCTTCGCTAGGGTTGTTTTCATCTATATTTTCTGGTACTTCGTGTGTCTCATTTTGTGGTTCGTAATTCTCAGATATCTCAAAATAGAGGGTAAATGTTTCCTTTTTGGGTGAAAATATGTCATTTTCGTTGAAATTAACATTACAGCTGATTTGAATTCTACGTTTCTCTGGATCCCAAAGTCTATAATTGGATGAATGACCGTCATAACCTACCAACAATAATTTTCGGGATTTTGGCTCAAACTTTTTCCGAAACTGATCTGGTATTGCCATGTAAGCGATACTTCCAAAAATGCGGACATGTTTTAACGTAGGCTTACGGCCAAACCATTTCTCGTATGCGGTCATATTATCAATTTGAGTGTTTGCCGTCCGGTTCAGAATATATACGGCGCAATTTACCGCTTCGGACCATAATTCTTGAGAGACGTTCTTGTTGATAAGCATGGTTCTGGCACATTCTGTAATGGTTCTTATTTCTCTTTCCGATCTGCCGTTTTGTTGAGGTGTATAGGCTGCTGAATATTCGGGTGAAATACCTGCTTTCTGTAAAAAGTCTTTAAATGATTTACTTATGTATTCACCGCCTTGATCGATTTTGAAAACTTTTATTTTGTTACCGGTTTGATTCTCTACAAGTGTCTTGTATTCTACAAATTTACCTAAGACCTCTGATTTGTGTTTGAGAAAATAAACCATGCGGTAACCGCTACAATCATCCTTGAATAGTACAAAATATTTTGAACCGCTAGGCGAGGGAATATTCATAGGCCCACAGACATCATTGTGTATCATAAAACCGGGCTTTTCAGCTCTTTTTACAGACAGATTTTTATGAGGTACTTTTGACTGTTTACCAAACTGGCAACTTTCACAGAAAAACGGCTCTTTTTCTGTGATTTTTAAATCGGATACTAGCTCAGAAGTTTTCTTGATGTAATGACAATTAACATGACCGAGA